TTTTTACAACGCTCATAATATCTATACTCACATAAGTTATATCCCGATTATAGAACAAATTCTCTTATGAGTCTTATCAAAATACGTAAATTATTTATTTTCGTGTAATTGAAAAGACTGCAACATTTTATTTTATTGTTTTCATGTTTTGGGCATTCTACATTTCTCCCTCAACCCTTGCTCCGATATCATCACAACATATGCAGAAATCCAAGAAAAAAGAAGGGAAATTATTCCAAAAACAAAAAACTATATACCGAGGAAAACCAACAAATAATATCATCTTGTATTAACAAATTGAGCTTGCTACGGACAATGACTGAGTTCTCGGAGGCAGAGCAAACAGAGCATCAAGGTCCGGCGGCTGGAAGTACCCATTCTTCGGCGGCTCCCGCTTCTTTTCCCCAGCCGCCTTCTTCTTCGGAGGCGGCGGACACATATTCGCCTCCGGTATTTGGCACTCTCTCCGCTTCGGCGTCATACAATCTTCCTCCATTTTCAATCCAGCTCCTCCGCACTCCATCGGTCACTCTTTAAATATATAGTAGAAGACGGAGCGCGCGGTTTATATAAAACTTTCAAATTTGCAAAAAACAAAAAAAAAAAAAAAGGAAAATGGGAATGACAGCTAAGCATGCGCGCGGGGGGGACGACGTGTCAGACTGTTACTGGGAGTTTGTGCCTACATTCATTTCCACGTGGCACGAATCCAGCGGATTCTGTATATTTTTCTATATTTAATGTCTGCGCCAACTTTGGGTCGGTGGTTTGCGCGGGAAATTGAATCCGTTTGAATGTGATTCGGTGGGCTAAAATTTAAATTAAATATTTTGTGGTCCAACTGGAATTTTAAAAGGGTAAGCCGGGGCCTATAAGGCTAATGGGCCATGTCCTTAAAACGTGGAGTTATTATTATTTTTGTCTCTGGGCCCACTTTTCATTAAAATAGGCAGACATAAAATGGGTTTTACTTTGGAGGCCTGCATCTAGGAGTGCACAATGGACTGAGAAGGCCCAATACATGTAATGCTGTAAACCCAATTGACGCTCATGACCAACCAAATCCTCTCAAAGTGGGTCCAACATGATGGGAGAGTTGAAGAATGTTCAACTTATATTGAATGGTTTCATTACTGTTATACTGAGGTATTTTTATGGTAAAATTATACTCATGTTGGGATTATATGTGATCAAGTTAGAGATAATATCGGTGTTGGACCAATAGCAATGGTCATTAGATCGCCTTTGAAATCTTGACACAAGGAAATTGACGTTCATATCACACACTGTGTTGCAAAGTTGTCTAAAATTTATGATGCCTCAAATCCCCCTCTTAAGCTAATTGCTCCAACGCTATGAAGGAAGTTGAAGTTTCACCCTAAAATCAATTGGTAATGAAGGAATGGCTCAACTTCGTATAAGCTTTTGTAAGGTTTATTAATTTTCGATGTGGGACATTGTTCACACCTTCTTGCAGACGAGTGGAAAAATAATACAAACCATAATCAAATGCACAAAGAATTTTTCAATGTAATTGTTGCATCGCCATTTAGTGTTCACGTTCCATCGTGTATTCTAAATCCATGAAATATTATACGTGTTGTATGCCTATATTATAGCACATAGAATCCGAACTACGTGGCGGTATTACTGGAATGCTCACATTGGTCATATATCATGGATATGTATAATGTTTTAGGAATAAATACACATTTTATAATATAAGTTAATTGACAACATGCACCATGTAAATGTTGGTTGTTTAACTGTCAAAATAGTGCAATGGAAGATGAGAGTGTTCAGTTTGTAGCCGTTAGGTCTAATGTGTCAAGCTAGCATAGTTCTTCTCTTCATAGTAGATGAAAAATGTTAAGATGTGACCTGTGAGTGGGGTATTTCTAATTCTAGCCGTTAAGGTAGCTAGGTCTCAAAAATTCTAGCCGTTAAGGTAGCTAGGTCTCAAAAAGTATCAAGCGACATTACTCTTCTCAAATTAGTGGGAAGAGAAATGCTACGTTGCAATTTACAAGCAAGAAAATTATATTCGTTAAAATGTAATAATAAATCTGTTTTAGCGTGAAATAGATATTCCTATGCAATTATGCCATGCGTCGAGTTTTTATTGGACAAAGAGATCACTTTTTAAACACATAATTAACTTTGATTTCGCGGGTGATGTAAATGAAATTATAAACCAAATTTGAAAGAAAATCTCTCCTTGCGTGGGCAATTGTCCTTGGCAAGGTTTCGATGGGATTTGCCGCGTAGGTAAAGAAACAGTGGTGGCAGTTTTCCACTTGTAGCCAAACCACCTAGAAGACTAGGTTTCGAGTCTTTTGACTGCCAGTACTAGAGGAAGATGCCCTTGCCAAGGACGATCGATTAGGACATGTGCTCATAAGCATTCCCAAGTGTCTTTAGGACCCCACCGCGCCCTTCTCTTCTTTGTTTTAACCCCAAAGGATGAGTTACAGCGTCACTGCTCGGATCAAGCCCCTCCTCCTCCAGTTCCTCCGACACCACAGACCTCGACAGCTCGAGGCGCTCCTACCCCTCACTCGTGAAGCTCGACACCAGAATCACACGTGTCCCCCACATGGTCCCACGTTAAAAAGGGTTGACTTTGGCGAACGAACACGTCCAAGTTTTTTCCAACCAAAGATAACTTGGTTTCTTTGGTTCCTAACGTGCGCCCACTCCACCTCTTCCCTCATCCGCTAACCGACGCCTCTCTCTCTTTCCGATTGTCTGACGGTCAACCCCAGATTTGTGTTTTTACGCGGGTAGGGTAGGGGAGAGGGAGACAGTACGCACCCTCTGTTTATGTTTCTAAGATTAACAAAAGTCAAAGCCACAAACCTCCAAAACCTGCCCTCACTTTGAAGACACCACTCGGTTCCCCTCGTGTTGCAAGATAAACTTTCTAAATATATTAGCTATGGTGACGATGGTTGAACCACACTAGATTTTTTTTTCAGTTTTTATTTGTTTATTTTCTAAATCGTTTTGGGTGATAAAAAGTATAAATTATTGTGCGACACTAAAACATATTTATGTGATAATTAAATAAGTGATGAAACATAGAATTTGATTATTAACTAATATATACTACACTATAAAGCATAAGCTATCATCCATCAATCATGCACGTAACACGTAAACTTATATTACTTGACTATATTTTAGTGTCATGCAATACTTTTTCAAAGTACTTGTGGTGGAATGCCAATATACGTGGTTGTATATATACATAGCTTTGTTTCTTTCAAGCTATATCATTGATCACGTGTACTTTGTTTGAATTGTTGTCAAGTTAACAAAATACTATTAGCTTCTAATGGTCTCCTAATTGATGAATTTGGGTGGACAATTAGTTGCGATAATTAATTTTGTTTTCTTTCTTGTGAGAAAGATCGAGGCATGCATGCATGTGGACCACTATGTTGTTAGACATAGGCATTGACCTTTTGCACCGCCAGCCCATCAACAGAAAAAACAAATCTCTCTAAAATCTAAAATAATGGAAGCGTAGAGATTTGGAAATTGCAAAATGCGAACTCTTGGAATTAATGTGGTTCGGTTTTCTGGCAATATTCAATAAACATGCATGCTTAGTCTTGTATGAGTATATATAAACCTTAATTACGGGAGGCTCTAATTTTGTTATATATCTTCTTTTTGCATGCTACTCATCTCACGTGATCGAGACTTGGGAGAGTTGGAAAAGAAAGTTGAGGGAAAAACTAAAGTAGGGTTTTATAGTTTCATCAGTTTAATTGAAGAGATTCTCTCTTGCAATCAACATACAATTCTAATGACGTTGCTTATTCAATGAATATGTGTGACGCGTTAAAAAAGTTAAAACCAACTATTCTTTTAATAAACACTTGACATGTGATGAATTGATAACATGAGAATACATCTCCTTTAATTAGGAAGTTCTTGTTAAAAAGTCTATCACAGTTCATATCTACTCCTTTTATAAAGTAATTAACTATCCAGGTAGCCAATTATATGCTTCCTCAAAGAATTTAAAAAAGAAGTGATAATTAATGAAGTTCAAGTTTTTAATCTGTTTATTTAAAGAAAGGAGAGAATGTAATCTCTTTGAAAATAATGAAAACGTATATTTTTATTGATTCTTTAGTGGTTGACTCCTGCTTTGGGTTGAAAATTGGGTCATGGTTCAGGTAGCTTTGGTCCACCTTTGATGCCTCTATCATTCAAAATTTCTTCTCATCAAAACATCATAACAAGACAAATAAAACACTAAATGAAAACACAGAGAATGCTGCAAAGCAACAAAAGAAAATGAATTGAAAGAAAATTTACTCTTGCTTTGTCTACCTTTCATTTTTTTTTGAAAAAAAGTAAATAATTTTCCACACTAGCTATCAAGCGATTTCTCAAATATGGATTTAGTTACATTAATTAGAATTGATGTATTTCTTCATATGCAAATAGATTTTGAACCCCCTTTTCTCTACAATTTAGATTGTCTTTTTGCACATTCTTGGTTTATTTTTGGCGCTTTATTCTCCTTTTACTTATTCAATTCAACAAAAAAAATAAACAAATGTATACATCCATAGAAAATAGACAGGCAATTTTCTTATACAATTTACCTCACCCACTCTTTTTCCGGTAAATTAATATCGAGATGATCATGAAGCCAGTGTTTTGCAAACCGGAATTATTTTTTTTGAATTTGATGCAATCGTGAAAATTACTGTTCTTGAATTTGATCTCGGTGGGAAAGACATTGAAATTACCCTAGCATGCATATATATGCACAAGGCAAATGACCCCATTAATTTTTCAAAAAATGCCCGTAGCTAGGGTTGTTCAGTTTACCAAATATGTTTACTGTTTGACGGGAATAGAATTCTTAGCTAAGTCTAAGTATAATGCATACGAAACCAAAACCCTCTTACTTTAAAAGTCAAGAGGCAAACACGTAGACGTGACGACTTCCCTTCTTCATCTGCTCCACCTTTTCCCGTCTTTTATTTCTTCACCAGATAATACACACTCTATAATTCTCATCTTATCAACTCATTTCCTCTCAGTTTCTTCTTCTTCTTTTTCTATTAGCAATGGAGGAAGCAATGGCTGCTACGTGGTCGGACGGCTCAGAGGAAGAGCTGGTGAGGGAGCTTCTGGACAATGAGTCACCGTTCTTTGTGCTACCGGAGGAATATGTGCAGTCCCAAACGACTAGTGCTTTCAGCAAAGAGGCTATCAACCGGTTTATCCCTAACGTCTATTCTGGTCCGACAATCCAAGATATTGAGACTGCTTTGTCTGTCACAACGGGAACAGTCCAGCCCCAAGAACTTTCAAATGCCAGGTTTGTATGTATATGTTGCAATAATTTTATGTTCCTCGTTTTTGTAGAATTTAATTGATTGGGTTTATTTTTTGTAGTTTGGTGTAAATGCATTTTCTTATTTTGCAGGCTGTCATTGCCAGAAGGGGGTCTGAGTAAGGTTGAGCATAAGTATACTCTGAAGATCAAAAGCTGTGGAAATGGAATAATGGCTGATGATGGTTATAAATGGAGGAAATATGGCCAAAAATCCATTAAGAATAGCCCAAATCCTAGGTAATATTTACTATATATAGCTCCTTCTTCTTCCCATTTATCTGAAATTGTTTTTAAAAGCTTTAGGGTTTTGATATTATTGCAGCCATAGTAAACGTGTAGTTCAAGCGGTCATGAGCACTCAGTTCTACATCCAAGGCCGTCCATTCTCCATCTTCTAATATTGCTTGTTTATAAAAAAAACTTCGACTTCAAAGTCCGTAAGCTCTTACGAAGAATATGCAAACTTCAAGAAAAGTGTTTAACGCTATTTTTGATAAAAGATATAAGACGTACGTTCCTATTAGAAAAGTCAAAAAAACAAAACCACAAATATATAATTATTAATTAACTTAAAACAAATGATAATTGTTGAACAAGAGTCGCGTCATTTGTTTATTAGGTACCTAAACCAATAAACTTTGCATCGAAAAGCCTATAAGCATCGTAAACCACTTTATTATCTTATGTGTGCAAGAGTCGGACTTAATCTGCATGACTTATACCACTTTAATACTAATTAAGCTGATTAGTTCACGAAATGCTCTCTAATTAGTGCTGCGGCATGAAGCCAACTACCCTATTCAAGACCTTAAGAAGGTAGATTATCCTTAAATATTCTACCTACGCCAGGTCTAACCCTAGTACTAGGCCATTAAACAAAGGTTTGACATGATGATACAATCACACAATTACATTAAACTTTCAATTGCAAATGGCGGGTGGATTGTTCCAGTGGATAAAACCTTCTTCTTCAACCCACTGTATACCGAGTTCAAACCATTCATCCTCATCATATTGTAGCTTAAAGTAATAATATCGCTTATAATAAAAAATAAAAAAAAGTAAACTTTCAAATGATTTATTTTACTTTAATCTTTCAATTTACATTTCTTACCCAGTTTTTTTTTTATTTGTTTATAGAAGCTACTACAGGTGCACAAATCCAAGATGCAGTGCTAAAAAGCAAGTAGAGAGGTCCAGTGAGGACCCAGACACGCTCATCATCACCTATGAAGGGCTCCATTTACACTTCGCATATCCATTTTTTGACTTTAACAACCAGGCCCAAAACTCCAGCCCGTCGATGAAGAAGCCCAAGAAGAAAACCTCGGAGCCCCAAGCCGAAGACCAAGACCGAGAAGCCCAAGAAAGTCTGCGAAGCGTTACTCCCGATCCAGTTCCGGATCTGCCGCCCGGCCCATCTCCGGACCGGCATCAAGAGTTTGTGGAAGAAGAGAGAAGCTCACAAGGATTGCTTCAAGATATGGTGCCATTCATGATTAGGAACCCTAAACCATCAAGTGCTTCTTCAAACTCTACATGTTCCTCTTCTCGTTCATCTCCAACCTCTTCTTCTTGTCTATCATGGGTTTCTTCCTATTTTGACGTGGGCATGAATCATAGTTTTGGATGAATCCATAAACGTAAACTATACAATGTTGAACAATAACGATATGTATGCTAAAAATTGCGATGTAGATTTTATCGTCAGTATAAGGAGAAAGGTGGTTTTTATTTTCCATAATCCTCTCGTAATTTTTGGCCGTCGGATATAAATTAAATATGATCAAATGATAGAAATTAACAAAAGGTTCATAAAAAGTGTGAGTGAACAGCACCATCATCAGAGAATTTGTTAGTGATTGTTAGAAGAGATATAAGAAGAACTTAGACTCATTGCAATCATTTGAACTATTTTTGGATACACAAGTGTACTGGCTCCTTTCCTTGCACTTACTTTCATCTTTTTGTTCTTCATCTTAAGATGGTGTCAAGAGAACTAATGTTTAACTCTTATTCGATATTGATTATTTTTGCACCAATTTTTTTTTAACTCAATCTTTCTTTCGATTCGATTTCTAAAGTTCTTCAAATTTAGTGAAAATATCAAAATTACAATCCTATACCAAATGTTCAACAGTTATTTCATATCAAATTTTTTTTTTTTTTCTGAAATTCTCATATTTTCTTTGAAATTTTTCACGTTTTAAACCAACAACAATGAGACTGATTCTAAGCCTTGCTACTTATTTCATTATATTGTAAAACTTATGTATGTAGATTACATTACTCATGAGGGAAGCAATTCGACACTGCTGTTTTCTATGTTTGTTTGCATCGCAATCTAAGTATAGTGAGCATTTGCTTGTGTCACTCCTTGCCTCCCATATCATAAGGCGAAGCAAACTCATACAAAACTCTGTATGAGAATGTTTTTTCCCACTATTATTTGCACTCTAAAGTCGGCTGAATGCATTCATACGTGAGCCATGAGAAAAGGCACCAAATTATTTTAACAAAAATTAATGAAAAGTATTTAAAAATTTTGAGTTTTAATGATAAAGATAAAATTCAAAGTAAGATGAATAGTATCATGATTAACCGTCCCACCAGAAATTTTCTGGGCAACCAAACAGACGTGCAGAACTCTCTCTACGGTTTCAAAAGTACCATTCTCCACCTCAAACGATTCCTGCGGCTCGATACAATGGTTTTCTCAAGCATCGGACGCTCGATCACCCACTCGGCTCGTTCCAAATTCAAAAGAGTAAGAATTATAACCTAAAAAATCCTAAGTTTTGAATTTGTTTTTCCCTAAAGTTCTCTTTTTTAGTTGGTTGATAAATTTGATATTTTTCTGCGCAGAATGTGATTTCGGGTACTTACAACGGGAGGAACACGCTGCTGCACGATTCCTTTCCGCCGTCGTCGACGCCGCTCGGCAATGCGTGCGTTGATGGCTGCGTTGGGATTCTGAGGGGATATATAGCGTACAATGGAGCTGGGAAGCAGCTCGTATCAAAAGCATACATGTCGAATTTGAAGTCTGTTCTCGGAATCCATAGAATTCGTCGCTTGTTCTCCAGCCAAGGCCCCAGGAAGAAACGTAAGGCTTTCTGCCCAAAAGTTGAGAAATTTTTTTGGTTTGATAAAATTTGATGCTTAGCATAATGTGTTAATGTTTGGATGTCTGCAACGGTTTGGTCTTATAGATTACGAAAATTATTATCCGAAAAATAAGAAGCAGATTCCGAAAGGGGGCGAACAGAATTCAGTGTCCAAAGGTGTGCCACATTCTGATTTTTGTAGGTTTTTCCCCATTGATGTGTATTGGGTAAGTGCAACATTGTTTTAGTATGCCCGTCAGTTTCATTTTTCATCAGAGGTATCAAGTGCAGTTGGTCAGGGGAATACTCAGGGACAGTTTTCGAAGCAGATTCAAGATTTTATTGCTTCATTACTCCTTAATCCTCATCAAACGAAGGAGGTAATCACTACACTTAGAGACACTAGTTTATTTGAATTGCTTTCGCGTAGGATTAAGATTACCTTCATGTGTTTGACAGAAAAAAAAAAAGATTACTTTTCTGTTGAATAGGTTTACTTTCGTGTTTCTAGCAAGGTCTATATAATAGAGCCTTTATAGTTCAGTAGAGGGAGTCTCGAATGATTGAATAAACAGATGTTCCTCCCTGAGGCCTCTGTGTCTTCTCGTCTATATATCTTTATTGTCTAAGTTCTCGTCAAACATTCTGCATCAATGTTGTTATTTGGCTTATTTTTTCCATTTCATTTTCATTAGTGATTTCTGCTTAAGCTGATTTGTTTCCCAGATAAGTTTCCAAGAATTAAAAAATAAGCTACTTGAACTTGGGTTGGTCGATCACATTGAAGTTGCAAACAAATCAGTTGTAAAAGTGTACGTGAGGAGCTCCGCACGTGAAAAAGTTCATAGTGATGATTCTGTCCGTGATACTGTTAATGGTTCTCCTTCCGAAGGAAATTTAACCCAGTTTAAATATTATTGTAACATTGGGAGTGTTCAATCTTTTGAAGAAAAGTTGGAGGAAGCCCAAGAAGCTCTAGGGATTGACCGTCAGGATTTTGTTCCTGTAATTTATGTATCCCAAGTAATGAGGTCCAAAGATTTGTTAGGGTACGGGCCAACAGTGTTGCTTCTGGGAGCCCTTTGGTTCATGAGCAGAAAAATGCCTAGCATTTTGGTCCAGGTGGAAAAAGCGGCCGAGGAATATTCAACATAGGCAAAGCACAGGTCACGAAGTTGGATAAGAATGCTAAGAACAAGGTTAAGTATGCATTTCATTTCCTTGTGTTGCCTTCATCATGTTTCTTGTATTAGTAATAAAGTCAAACATGGATGCAGTTATTTACATAACAATTCTTTAGTGTCCACATTTTGATGCAGGTTCTCTTTAAAGATGTAGCTGGCTGCGATGAGGCTAAGCAAGAAATAATGGAGTTTGTGCACGTTCTAAAACATCTGAAGAAATATGAGGAAATGGGAGCCAAAATTCCGAAAGGTGCTCTTCTTGTTGGTCCTCCTGGAACAGGAAAGACGCTTTTTGCGAAGGCAACTGCTGGTGAATCTGGGGTGCCCTTTCTATCTATATCTGGTTCAGATTTTATGGAAATGTTTGTTGGTGTTGGGCCATCAAGGGTTCGAAGCTTATTAGGGGCAAGACAGTGCGCACCCAGTATAATATTTATTGATGAGATTGATGCAATTGGCCGGGCAAGAGGGCGTGGAGGCTTTTCAGGTGGCCATGACGAGCCTGAAGTACTCTCAATCAATTGCTTGTAGAAATGGATGGATTTGGAACCACTGCTGGAGTTGTTGTACTTGCTGGCACTAATAGGCCTGATATTCTGGATAAAGCTCTCTTGAGGCTTGGTCAGTTTGACCGTCAGACTACCATTGATAAACCAAACATCAAAGGTCGTAACCAGATTTTTCAAATATATCTGAGCAAGCTCAAGCTGGATCTGGAGCCGTCATTTTACTCTGAGAGGCTTGCTGCTTTCACTCCTGGATTTGCTGGAGCAGACATTGCTGCAAGAAATGAAAGTCCAAAGATCACCATGAAACATTTTGAGGCGGCTATAGACAGGGTGATAGGCAGCCCAGAAAAGAAGAACAAGGTATCTGTTGCCACTGCATGGTAATCTGTGCAGTTGTCGACTCCTTTATGATTCAAAGATTAATAGCTGAGAATTAGGAGATTTTTTTATGGACCTGCAACAGTGAGATAATTTTTTTGGCATCATTAATTCTAAGTTTGTACCTGCGCGACCTAAAACAATGGTGTAAACAACTGTTTGATCATGAGAGACTTTCTAAATTTTTTACCAAGATATTTAACTGTTTGCTGGACTCTTTATGCAGGTTATAAGCAAGCTGGAAAGACGGACTGTTGCTTACCATGAATCTGGTCATGCTGTTGCTGGTTGGTTCCTTGAATATGCAGAACCTTTACTTAAAGTAACTATTGTTCCACGTGGTACTGCAGCATTGGGGTTTGCTCAGTATGTTTCCAATGAAAATCTTCTTATGACCAAAGAGCAGCTTTGTGATATGACATGCATGGCCCTTGGTGGCCGAGCTGCTGAGCAGGTGAAGCTCCATCTTTCCCAGAATTTCTGATAAGCTTTATAATTAAGAAGGAAAATCTTGATTTATTGAAGAATGGTACTTGTATGCTCCCAATTTAGGATTTTGGTTCAACGCTTAACGTTACAAAGGCACTTTAGTATGGTCTCACACTCATTGAAGTACGAATTCACCTGAAATATAGCGTTTAAAATTCCAAGGATGCCATCTTGGCAACAAAAAAAACTTAGAGTTAATTCTGAAAGTATATGATGCCTTTTGTCCTTTAAATCTGTATAATTAGTAATAATATATGTTGTGTTGCAATGTTTGAATAGTTTCCGACTGCAGACATTCTTGTGTTACAATAACCCAATTGTCTTAAATTGATCAAGCACAATGCCTCAGACTGAACAGAAAAAATAAAGTTCGTAACATCTGTGACAGTACATCTTAGTTTAATAGAGAAACAAAAATTGTGGCTAGTTGTGCATGATCAGGCTCATGTATGTAGAAAGCTGAAGTTGGGGTATTGCTATGAGCCTATGATGGCACCACATTCTAATTTTAAAACGAAAGACATCTTCGTAGCTTATGAGATTTTTTCAACTGACTTGTCATTAACTGCGGTGATATTTTTGGAGTAGATTTTGTTGGGGAAGATTTCAGCTGGAGCGCAGAACGACTTGGAGAAAGTGACCAAAATGACTTATGCTCAAGTTGCATTGTATGGATTCAGCAACAAGGTAGGTCTTCTTTCATTTCCTCAGAGGGACGATTCATTTGAGATGACGAAGCCCTACAGTAGCAAAACGGTGCAATCATTGACAGTGAAGTGGTAAAGCATACGTCCGCACCATTCAGTTAATAGAGGAGCACAAAGAGCAGATAGGATAGATTGCAGAGTGTTGCTGGAAAAGGAAGTCCTTCACCAAGAGGACTTGGTTCGAGTATTGGGAGAACGGCCATTCAAGTCGAACGAGCCCACAAACTATGACAGATTCAAGGAAGGGTTCCAAGAAGAAGATAAGGAGGGTGAAGATACCCATTCAACCAGATGTTGTTGTGCCTGCATGGTGCATAGTGATTATTTTTTGGGGATTATGTGTTTATATGAGATGAAT